GCCGCTGCTGTTGCTGCTGCTGCTGCTACTACTACTGTTGAGTTGCGCATGTGCAACAGGCAGTCACACAGGCAGCCCGACAGCCAAGCAAACCCGGTAGGCAGGAGCTCAAATTGTGCCAGAGACAGCACAGCCCATCAGCCAGCCAGTCAGCTAGCGAATCAACCAGTCAGACACTTGCGCGCTTACCAATCACACCAATCGAAGGGTGAAAGAGGGCACAAATAAGCGCAAAAATAAAAATGAAATGAAAAAAAGTTAGCAGAAAAAGTATCGAACTGCAGCCCGCGTGTAGCTAGCGACAACGAGCTAGGTATGCAATGGCTCGGAATGCAAAAGTGCTTTGGCGCATCTTCGCTCGCCAACAGCCAACAGCCAACAAACAGCCAGCAGCGATCAATGCGAGTAAGCAATGAGCGGAGCAGGGTAGGAAGGAGGAGGCGCGAAGCATGGCGTGGCGGCGCTCAGGCATTACCTTAAGATTGATGACAATTGCGGCCGTTAGTATGCGGTGTGCAATGAGTAGTATTTAGTATTTTGCTGCTGCTGATGAGGCCAACTTCGAATTTCTTTTGCCATAATAGGTAAAGTATTGAATATGTATGTTTGTGGTACGATGACTTTGGCTAGCAACAAATTACCTGGTGCACCTATGAATGCTGCTTTACCGCTTCGCCTGGTGATGCTGCAGAGCGATATGGTAGATACTTGTATATATGTGTGTTTGTATGTAGTAGTAGTAGTAGTGTATGTGTAACTGCTCGTAACTGCGTTTGTGACTGTAGTGTGTAGAGCGCCTGCCTACCTGGTTACCGTTAAAAACTACCCCTCTAAATTTTTTTTATTAGGGGTGCGTTCACAGGCTTGGGGTGGTTTTCAACTATTGTTTATGTGACTCTATTTTTCATATGTGTGTGTGTGTGTGTGTATATATATGTGCCCTTGCGTGATTTTTTTCTGCTTCTTCTTTTAACTACCTTTTCTTCTATCAGCCTATCAAATATTAGAAACTCGTTTTTTTTTCGTCTTCATTTGTGCAAAGATCGTTTTCCTTTTGTTTACCTGCCTTATGTACACATATTAGAGTAACGGTAGTTGAAAGATCTATCCAAGGGTGCTATTGAAGGTATGTACGCTACAAAACAGCATAGTGGTTTGTTTTTTCTTTCTTCTTCCGTCAAATATGGCGTCTTAAGTATACAAAGACTGTTAGAGATAAGTTCTGTTTGCTTGAGCAAAGGGTGTTTTTTTTGAAAGCTTTCAAATTATTTATGCGCCAAAGTTCTTTTATAGCATTTTTTTGCGCCCCTTTAAGAAATGTTGAGATTTCTTATTGTTTCTACCTTGAAACCCGTTACAAATACATTGAAATTTGTTATGAATGGGAAAAAAATTCTACTACTTTTCGTTGCCTGCCAATTGCATTGCTTTTTCCTGTCGTTTTTGCACATTTCGATAGATCTTTTCAGCGTATGAAAATATTTTCTAAACAGTAAATGTCGCTTTTTACTTATATGCTTCCTGACAATGCTTTTGTTAGATGCCATGAAATTCTATGAAGAGAATAACTCACTTTGTATGCTGCTTTTTCTACGCTTTCATACAAAAATTTGCTACTTTCATATTTATACATATTGACAATTATAATTCCATTCTTATTAATACTCGTGCTTTCTATGTATTTCTATATATTCATTTTCATATGGACTTGTGTGTGGGTAAAATCCTGTAAAGTTCTACGTCATACAATACTTTGAGGGTGGAAAAAACGCGCCAAACAATTTAAGTTTTTTTTTGAAGAATTTCTTTCTTATTTGCCTTGGCTGTACAACGCTTTCACATAGTTTTCGTAATGTCAACTTGTGCGCATTTCTTTTTCCATTTTTTTTCTTACTCAATGCTTGTCACAGATTCACAAAAAGCTTCAAAAAAAAAAGTTCTACTCTCGCCGGCGTGTAGAAAAAACTTGGCGTCTAACTGGGTGAGTGCATTTTTATTGTGCAATGGTGCAGACACGTTTTTATTTGCGGGCCACTCACTACCTCTAAATAGTGTATGCGTATTAGAGTTTAGTATATATAACGGTTTTTTTTGCAATAGACTTATTTACAACTATGTTTGGAATTTAAGAAATATTTGAACATATGAAATAAATAAGGTGAAACAAAAAGTGGAAGGTCTATGAAAAAGCTTTAAGCTTCAAGCTGAAGCTTGGATGGACAGATTGCACGGCTCAAAAAAGTTATAGGTACTATATATGTGTATAGTATTATTGTATTAGGTCTAAAAAAGCAAAAGTAAAGGTAAAACGTAATCCATTATTTTTGCAATGGATGCTTAAAGTGATCTGCTATTGGATTACTCTAGATGGCACTGAAAAGATGATATTTTGTATAGAAAGAAGTAACCGTAGAAGTTTTGAACACTAAACTTAGTAGTGTTTGAACGCATGCCAGAGAAAATATGCTAGACAAAAACACAAGTCAATCAGCTGAAAATGTGAACACTGTTTATGATCCTGATACTGTAATGGAGAATCATGCACAATTTCGGCTTCTCCAGCTCGTTGCGGTAATTTTGATGTAACAGTTGGTTCACGCTTTGAAGACCAATTGTCGAAAATTTTGATTAAATAAGGGAACTCTTCGAATCTGTCCGGCATGCGCGCACTGTTTTGATTGCTCAGGAGCTGAACATTGCACAAAATACAATTTGTAGCCACTTGAAAAGGGCTAGGTACTCAAAGAAGCTCGATGTAAGAGTGCCACATGAGTAAACGAGAAGAAATCTCATAGACCGAGTTATCATAAGCGAAACGCTGCTGAATCATAACAGAATCGATCCATTTCGGAAACAGCTGGTGACTGTTGATGAAAAGTGGATTACTGAAAGTAATATCAAACGATTGTGGTCATGATCGAAGGACAGTTAGTCGTTCGTTAAGGTTTTGTTGTAAATGCGGTAGGGTTGGCAAGGAATCATCCATTATGAGGTGCTCCCCGCGCCCAGAATTTCAATTCGGACTTGAACTGTCAGCAATTTAACCGCCTGAATCAAGCAGTCGCTCAGAAGCGCCCAGCTTTAGCTGCCAGGAGAGAAATTGTGTTTCATTAGGTCAACGCTGAGCTCAATCAGTTTGCATCCACATTGTACTCTGGACCTCGCATCAAGTGATTACCATCTATTCTTGTCTATGGCCCATGATTTGAAGAATAAGGCATCTTATTTTAGGTAGGCACGCAGGAAGTATGAAAAATATTCCTTCGGAAATGCTTTTTATATTGGATTAGTAGGTTGAAGGCTGTCTCTTGAGGTGGCAACCCATGAAGGATTTGGGACAAATAGGGGGCTCAAAGTTACGTCGACCACACATTGGATGGCGTGAAAAAGAAATTGTATCCATTTCTTCCTTGCTAAAATGTTGAAGACGCCAGAATCGGTGTTATGTAGAAGGGGTGTTGATAGGTGGTCTGACATTGCCTGATGTAGATTGAGGTCCTTCCGGGTCCGACCAACATTCAATATTATAAAAGCGGGGTTACAAAGCGCCAATTATATGTAATATATATATTTCTGGCTAAAAGAAAATATTTTCCATTTATAGGAACTCTCTAAATTGAAATAGAATTTCGATTTTGACCATTCACTTCCGTAAATATGTAAATCGGAAAATAATACCATTGGATTGCTTTGCTATAAAAAATAGTGTGATGAAGATAGAATTATTTATTGGAAGCCACAATGGCAGCACTGATCTCAGGGCACATATACGTCAATTGAGGAACAATGAAAAGTTGGACGAGCGTTGGAGAAGTTGTCGCCATCAATTGACTCAAATTTCACAGACGGAAGACATAAGGTTCTTACTTGCCACCTGGGAGCAATGTAGACTGCAGACACATTAAACTTGCACTAAACTTGATGAATCCTTTGTATGTTTGTGAGTGTATTGAAAGGATATTTCGCCTTGGCCTTGATAAACCATCTTAAAAGGTAGTCATGATGTGGGTGGAGCGAAAGAGAACAAGAAGCAGGTGCGCTGCCTATCTTATGGGGACACAGGGTCTATGCAATTGAAGTACCCCATGTTCTACACTGATGCTTGCTCAAAAAGGTATAAGTCGCTGTAAATTTCGCCAATCGCGAATGTTGATCATTTCTACAGAACAGACAAACAGTTAAATAATTTTGTATTGGTGTCTGAAAGCTCCATAATAATTAAATAATTTTAATCGAAATTGGAAATAAATGACAGAATTAAGAAACTGCAATTGTTGGAGCCATTAGTTGGAAGTTAGCTTTCTTTAGATTTTGTTTGGATTTATTGTTCCACTGCGATAAAAAGATCAGGTGGAGCAGGATCCGACTTGGAATTTTCATTTAAATTTTTTGTGTCCAACAACTATTGTCATCTCGGCTATATTCACGTAAGCGGTGTCTACGCCAGTAAAGAAGAAAAAGAACGTGGCTAGTACACTAGTGATGTTTCCCTCAAACTTTCAAGTCCAATTATTAATTAAAAATACTTTCTCTTTATGCCTTTACACCAAGCTTTCGTACTCTTTATGGCACTCAATTCACAAATTATACAAAAACTTTTTAGCTTGGCAAACACTTAAACATTCAAAATGTTTGGTTTCGTTGCAACTGAAGCAAGTTTTTCGGCTGAGTTCGTCCTTCAATTTGTTGCAACAAATGGAAGGAACTTTTTCTTTCTTGCAGGTGTGCCAACCCTGTCTAAAGGCGGTCGTATTTAGAACTTTTTCTCTATAATTTTTGGACTTCACTCTAGACAGAACTCGAATCCGTGACCCTTCGTTCAAGAGCAAGGACTACTTCCCACTCGTTAGGAGTGGCCGCACAGCTTTATATCGGTTTCATTCACAATTTACACAAATATACCATTTCACTTGCTAAACACAACACTTTCTTATGCACTCTTTTCAGAAAAAATAGTGTATTATATATATATATATATATATGTGTGTATTAACACTTACTTGTGCCATTAGCATTGCGTCCGAAAATCTTTCCAGATGGACTCAAAATCGGGCTCGACGAGGCAGAGGGCGCAGCAGAGAGCGAACGTTGTCCTTCGGAAATACCACTGGCTAACGAAGAATTATTAATATCATCACCCTTGGATAGATCCACGACGGGAAGCGACTGTTGCGGCAGTGTGGGCTGACTACACGTTGCTGTTAGGCTATGAGCGCCACCAACGCCACCACCCACAGCACTTACAGCGCCGACACTTGCCGACGCGATCGGCGCTAGAACTGCGCTTGACGTCTGATTGCCGACGGCTATGACGGAAGTGGCAGCTGTGGAGGCAATACTCGTTACATTACTACTGCTAGAAATTGTTGTATTTGCTGTTGTGGCTAAAACGCTATTCGACGTTGTTACTGCGGTCGTTGCTGTTGGTAAGGTACTGGCAGACAATGTAGCGTTTATGGGCGGCGTTGTGGCGTTGGGCGGCGGATTTGTAATTGTCGCAACTGTAGCGCCCGCGGAACTGCTGGAATCCATTGTGCGCGGGAAGTTTGTGTAAAGAAAAATGCGGGATCTTGTGAGGATAAGGAAAAGGATTTGGGGTTTTGAAACTAAAACTTTCAAATTAAACAAATACACAAACACAAAATAGAAAATTTCGCATGAAGGCTCTTGATGAAACATGCAAACTACGACTGGACGCATACACTACGAAGACTGGTTGCACTACTAAGAGCAAAGAAGACACAAACTACACTAAACTTCGTGCTTTTTGAAATTTTTTTTTTTTTTTTTTGAGAATACACTAATAAACTCTTTGCAACAGAAACGTCTTTTTCGTTTAAATCTTTTTTTAATTAGTTTTAATTTCTTAATCTCTAAAAGATTAATTATTTTCTTTTTTGCTTTGCTTTGCTTTGCTGTAAGGAGCGTCCGTCTACGCGTTATTGCGCGCCACTCATCCGTTCTAATTGATGGCAGACAAAGTTCTAGTCACTCGTGTTGTCGTTGGACAACTGTTGTGTTGAGCTGCTGAGCTGTGCTGTGTGGCGTTGTGCTGAGTGGAAGCCGGCCGGTTGGACGGTCGCCGCTGTGCTCGATTCTACACGCTGTGGCTGGCGAAGTCTCAGTGTTGCACAGCCGAAGTCTCTTTCAAAGACTTTGTGTGTTGGCTTGAACTTTCTTGTAGGGAAAAATATTCAAAAAGGTACAAAAGGGCAGATAACCAGCACATACATAGCATACATAAAAAACCATCTCGCATACGCACACACATACACACACAATTGACTCTGATTGCTGGCGTGTGACACCGTAAGGATAGTCTTGGGCAAGGGTTAAATTGTGCAGTGTGTGACGCTCAAAACCGAATAAAAAACGAGCATCACAAACATGTATACATACACGCACACACACACACACACACCAAATCACAAATACACACATGTAATTGAGCGCTCAATGCCACAGAGAAGTGAAGGATTCTGAGCAATTACCACACACATCAGACCCAGTCAGGGAGAGCTCATAGTCGCACACATCAGCACATGCTGTTGCTTGAGCTTCTGGTTAGCTGGCTAGCTGACTGGCATATGCTTATGTATTTATGTAGCCAACTACTAGGGGTGGGAGCCTACGGGTGAGCAGATCGCAGATGAAGTTGCGGATAGAGCGCTCAGCATATAGCAGCTTGCTCACCTTTGGTCGATTGCCAGAGCACAGTGCACAGTGCAAGCGCCGCATTAAATCAGTTGGTATACGAATTGGAAGTTGTAGAATTCTTATCAGAAATACGCGTACGCGTGCGCAGAACAAAATATTTATAGGGAGTGCGTGTATGGTGAGAAAGAGAGGGGGAAAGTGCGTGAGAGCGGCAATATATGAGGATGAATAGTATCACGCAACTCCGCCTAGTCTTCTCAACTATTTACTATTTGTAGATCTTATGTACTTATGCGTGAAGAGTTTGGTGGTTGCTTAGCATTGATGATGCTTGAGTGCGCCGAAGGATGCTAGCAAGGATGCTGTGTTGTGTTAGAAGAATGTAGACGATTTTTGTCTTGTATAGGAAAGGAAACAAATACATATGAAAATATATACAACGTATATGCACACACATTCATATATAGTATTAGTTGAAATAACTCGTATATGTATTCTCGTTTGATTGTATTAGTCAAAGGTGCTTGAGACTTACATAGATTTTTTAACGCAGTATGACATAATAGCTTTATCCTCTCATTATTTCTAGTACAAATGTATGTATATAAAATATATATTTAATATATATATATGTATGAAGGCGTACGCATACAATACAGAAGCATTTAAATAATTTTTTTTTTGTATTAAGCATATGTATACATACATATATAAGAGCATGTCCTCATCTCCACTTCCACTTCCTATTTTCATTATTATTATCTGTGTCTACTATTTCATTAACTTTATTATTGTTATTTTTTTTTTTTTTTGCTTGGGTGCCATTTGATATTCCTCATTCTTTATTTTTTTTCTCATTTAATTTCCGTTAAAATTTGCTATTCACTAAAATACGTTATTCACTTGAAAGGGTTAAATGGTTAAATGTAACTGTGTTTTTATAGCAAATAGAAATTTGTTCGAGAAAAAAATGAAACATTTTAAATTATTTTAGCGCGAAAATGTGTTAGGAAATGTACATATGTATATACATATCTGCATACCTATTAAATATGTATGTCTGCATGTTTTTCAAAGGATAATCAGAAAAAATGTCACAAAGTCGCTTGTTGATTTCATAATTGTTTCAGCAGCATTTAATTGCTTTTTCATTTTAATAAGTGAAAGGGTGTTTTGTTTTCTTCATTGCGCAATTTCATTGTTCGCACATTTGATTTTTGAGTTTTTTTTTTTTGAGGGAAGTTTTAATTAAACAAACATAATGAGTAGACTACGCCCAAGTTAATTTCATATTTTTTTTTTATCAATTTTTCATGATAATTGCATTAGAAAACTTCTTTCAAGTTTAGGGTTGACTTTGTTTCAATACTGTTTGTATTGCGTAGAGATTGCCGAAAGTTGCTTATTGACGCTTTGTAAATGCTGAAGTGATTTTTAACTGAGCTCACCTCTCCAATGGGATTTTTACAATATGAGGAGCTTGATATTCCCATCCCGAGGGGCGACCGTTAAAAATAAATATATCAATTCTAGAAATTTTGAATGTTACTACAGCCAGTGCTCGAACCATTGGTCGCAGAAATGTTAATACCCAGTGATCCACTCGGCTTTTTCCAATATTTAACAAGAAATAAAAGCTGTCTGCCGGCCATGCCAAAGCCTTTCTACCTTTCATGGTTCTATAAAATTTATTACAAAATACAAAATTCGTTACGTAATTCATTATGTCTCTGCATAATACTACGAAGAGCTGTTCAAATACGGCTGCGAAGAATTGAAATGGTACATGCAGTCGTTTCTTTGCGAAATATGTTTGGATAAAAGGCTTGTCCGACAATTGAAGCCTACTTAATCTGATCCCAAAGCTTGCGCCGATCACCGTGGAAGAGCCTCTTCAATATAGCATATTAGATCCTATCGAGCGTATTGTGTGAAAGACTAAAGGCCACCGTTAACAATTTTATTGTACCTTATCAGTGCTGTTTGACCTTGATCGACTATTAACCAGATATTCAGCAACGCCGAATGTTAAAAAATACCTTGAAAAGGAGATCACAACATGCTGATAAACCTGATTGATTTGAAAGCAGCCTTCTACAGCACGAAGTGAGTCTGGTAGAGCATAAGGGAAGACGAAATATCCAGCATTAATATATACCAACAAGGAAACCCAGCACAGAATCACTCTTGCTAACAGGTGCTACTTTGAATGGAGTACGCTAAATGTTACGGGACATGGACGATGACAACATCGATAAACCAGCGTTAGTAGACTTTGAGGGAAATGTTATGCGCAAGATGTGTTATCCTCTGCGCATTGGGTACAGTATTTACGATTGGCGCCAAACAGCGAGGGGAAGGAATGAATGGCTCTCTGCTGTTAGCTTGGCTAAAATCGCATGTGCGATGTCTATGGCAGTAAAGAAGAAGAATATCTAATTAAATTAATTTCCTATAATTTTTCGGCGTTGGTCGAATCTGGACTCAAATCCTGGTCTTTCGAGTGTGGGTGCGCAATGCTAATCACTTGGTCGCACAATACCTGCCTTAGGATATTCTAGCGATGTTAACAATGCTGGTAAGTTGGCTGGAGAGTTCGGTGGTTCTTCAAGTGACCTCTTTACATTTACAAGCATTCATGGATTAAAATATATACCGCAATTTCGCCGAGCATGGTTTATCAGCATGTTGATTATAACGATGAATGCATGAGCTTTCCTTGAAAATAATAACTTTTCCAAGCACTGCAACGTTGTTCCACTACGTTTTGAATATGAATTCGGCGAAGTAGCCAGCCGCGGCGCTTTGTAACCTCTGAAGCGATTTGCGGCCGATCTACTCTTACAATTTGCGATGTGCTTCTGATATTTTTCCAAAAAATGGAGGTAAAACTACAGTTTATACTACGCCTTCTTCTTCTTCTTCGAACGGCTAATGGTTCGTTGTGAGGAGCTTTTTTCATGTCAGAAATGCAATCGGGTTGACATTCTCTGCCGAGGGTGACCGCAATTAGAAAAGTTAACCTGATTTTTTATTTAAATTAAATTTCTATAATTTTTGATGCTGATCGCACCAGGACTCACTCAAACCATGTCAACAACGCTGCTCCGTCTAAGGCTGTTCATTGCGGAACGGCGAGCCAAACTGAGTTTAAACCAAGTAAGAGTAGTCGAAAAGTTTAGCTATATTTATTTAGTGAAGTTATAATCATTTAAAATATGTAGATATATACTTAAGCTATATACAAATTGTATTAAAAATACATATAATGTATATACGTACATAGGTAAAGGCATGTAAATCTAATATCGTTGCTTCGTAGTTATAGTTTTGATTGCTTCATTGTCCATATATAGGTATATATGTGGGATTTTTAAATAATAATGGTAAACAGTTCATTTAACTAAAATACAGAACTAACCTAAATTGTAAATATATATAGAAATGCATATAAAATAACATGAACCACAAATTCGTAGAGCACTCATACGCTAGACATAAACATACCATACAGTATGCAAGCAAACATAATTGGCGCTTAAGAACCGCTGAAATGGCTTTCTGTGTCTCTCCGTTTTTGCAACAAATCGAAGGACCTACAAACACCACTCAGTTTCAGTTTAAGTCGCCTCCAAACGGCCCATTATTTCTTACGAGGAGCCTTTATTTCCCTGCCGGGGGCGACCATTAAGAGGAAAATTAATTAAGTTTTAATTAAGATAAATTTTCTAGAATTTTTTTATGTTGTTTAGACCAGGACTGGAACCCTCGTGGCGGCAATATAATAAAATGTACAAACTATTTGTAATAATATCGTTACCATACGCGTATTACGAACGTAAAGTCTAAGCTTTTCCCTATATGAGACTCATGCGAGCAGAGAGCTCTACAAGTGTGTGGTTTATTGCTACATTTATTTAAAAATAAAAATTTTATTTAAAAAATTTCCTAATCTCTAGTTCTCATTATTCGTATTATCTTCATTTTTCGTTAATTTTCTATGACTATAAATTATTAACGCTGATAATTTGATTGATCCAGCCGATGAATGATGAGACCTTCACATAAACGCCTGGCACATCGACGCGTCCACAACCGAAGCCCCACGACACTAGACCAGCCAGTTCGAAGAAACCGTCATCCTGGCAGACCAATGGACCACCACCATCTCCTTGACAGGCATCGTTGCCCTCCTCGCCGCCGGCACAGAAACTGGAGGCGGGTAATATGAAGATCTTTTCTGTGACTGCATTCACTTTGCGTATACATTCGGCATCGCTAACTATGGGGATTTCAGCTTCACGCACGCGCAGCGGTATGGGACCGGCTGAATGGAGGAGAAATTAGAAGTTATGAGATTCTTAAATGAGAGTCGTACTTACCTTCACCCATATAACCATAGCCGGTGACTGTGCAACGTTTACCGGCCGCATGATTGACGCCACGCGCTGGTAGACAAACCTGTGTAAGGAGGATAAGATCAGATTTTACTCTAACTTACAGATTTCGGTATGGTCGATGGGCTTTTTTTGCGTGTACTTACCAAGCACACACCATCTCGCAACTCCGCCTGACCGTGGAGTTTCAGCAGCGCTATATCGTTATCCAAAGTTTGGCTGTTATGATTGTGGTGAATGTAGGTTGTGGCAACACGCAGGGTCTGTGCTCCCGGACTGCCATATTTTCTTGTCAGGTCATAGTCACCTACTCTCACATAAATGGCATCACCCGAGCGAACGATGCTGGAAAATGAAAAAGAACACGGTTAATATTTCGTAGGTTTAATTTTCGGGAGCTTTGAAAGCATTTAAGTAGTGGTTTTCCTCTGACGAATTTTTATCCTTTTCTTTGGAGCTGTTACGGTAGGTGGTGGGTCCCAAACCCTCACTGCGGTGTGGGAATTCTTAGTAGGGACATATTAGATAAGCGTGAGGGCTTCCAGCTTTAATTAAGATGCGCGTGAAATCATATCTAAGCAAGTCATTCAAGGCCTAATCTTAATTAAGTGGACTTTGGGAAAAATTTGACGAAAGTTTCAGCTTGGTGGTTTTAACTTAAAATGATAAATTTTGGAAGAAAAGTGGTGGAAAATATATTTAAGTGCGCGACTCGGCAAAATAAAGATAGTATCGATCTTGCAGATCGTTATCTCTATGCTTTGAAAAACTTCTCTTTTAAAACAATTTACATCCATTAATCCGTTTTAAAAATAAGACTTACTTTGTCACACAATGTGCCGCCGTTAGCACCCACTGCGTTCCGATGAGTGCCGCACCGCACAAATACTGATTCAGCGAGTTGATGAGCGCCACTTGCCAACACCATTCGCCATTGTCCCCATCCTCACCGCCAACAACACGCGCACGTCGACGCGAAGCGTTATAATTCAACGCATACACCGGGTCACCGACCACCGAATGACGGTAACGGCTCTGTACAGCTGCCACCGCCGAGATGGGTTGACTTTCATGGTACGAACGCAGCTGGTTTGCATCCGGCCACTCGTCGCTCGGTATTAGATCATTGTGAATTTGTATCGGTACAATCGCTGAACCCAAAATGAGACGTTCATTCGATTTGTTCACTTGAATTTGTGGCGTAGTGTACACCTGGCCGAGCTGACGCGAAGAACGTTGTACGCCGTACATAGCACGAGCATAGGAGACAAACGAGAGCGCAGGTGATGAGTGTGAACGTCCACTGCGGAGAGTGCCCTTAACACCACAAACATATTTCGAGTAAATATGCGGACGTGGTGTTGTAGTGGTGGATGTGGTAGTGGTCGTTGTTGTGGTAGGTGGTAGTACCGGTGCTGGGGGTGGTGGTGGCGGCAGATGAGATTGTTGCTGTTGTACCAATGCGGCGCCATAATGCGAGTAATCGTAGGTCGGTTGTTGTGGTTGATGTTGTTGTTGTAGTATTTGTGGTGGCGGTGGTGGTGGATAATGATGATGTGCTTGGGGCGGTTGGGTGACCATGTAATGCGGCGGTGGTGGTGGTTGCGGATAAGGTTGTCCCGGATAAGGTTGTGGTACGCCCGCCATTGGTGGTGGTGGTGGATAGTTGGCGTAGAGTGTATCATTGCGTGTCTGGAACTGTTGTTTTTCAAGTATACGACTCTTGGGCGCACAGCAGATTTGACCAGAACGTTTGCATTTGAAGAGATCAGTCATCTCGGCATTTTCTGCAAGGGCATGGAAGAATTTAAGCTTTATAAAAAATAATATGGAGAAAGTGGTAAAACTTACTGAAGCAAGTAAAGCTCAGCAATGGTACAATACAAGACCCTGGGCATTCCTCTCGTGGATCCGGTAAAGGTGTATTTGGTACAACGTAGGGAGCCGTAGCTGCTGTCGTAGGTGGTGGCGTGGGTCGTCTATTCTGCGGTGGTGGCTTAGGTGGCGAAGCTCTATAATGGAATAAATTAAAGTTAGACTTTTAATATCACAATTCGAAATTCAACCACACTTACGTATTATCACAGCACACAGAGCCTTTAGCACACGTGGTTGGTGTGCTGATCAGCACCGATGGACGTTCACAGAAGGCTGCCATTATGTTTAATAAACAAAAGCCGGGACAACGTTGTACTGGCGGTGGCGTCTGCGGTGCTGGCTGTGCGCCGGTGCCGCCTAGTGTATTCTCTGCGAACGACAGAATCTGCGAGAAGAAATCATTGCCACCGCCAACTGCTTGTAATAATGGTGGCGCAGTTTGTGGGGGCGATGCTGGCTTAGCTGCTGGTCGCTGTTGCGGCTTGGCAATCTTTGTCGATGATTTGGTGGGTGTAACTTTAGTCGCCACCGCCGCTGCCGGTGTAGCCTCTGAAGCAACGCCTGTGACACAACAGCTGCCCTCACCCGGACAAAAGGCCTCTGAGTCAATGTCATCGCAGAAAATAGCAAATATGCCATTCATACATTCACCCTCGCACTCTTTAAGCGTTTGACCATTCGGATTCTCAGCTTTATCGCCAGCGTCGCTCGTCGCATCATCTTGCGCTTCGGTATCATCATCTTCCGCCACTTCCTGTTCTTCATCGCCGGGATCTTCTGTTGTGGTGGTGGTCGCTGGTGTCTTTTTGTGTTTCAGGGGTTTGTTGGCGTTTACATTGTTGCTGATTTTGGTGCGCGCCGGTTCGGCTGTTGTGCTCGTCGTTGTTGAAGTAGCTGCCGACGAGGCGGTTGTCTGTCACGCGGGTAAGGAGGTTGGAGTTATTGCCTAGAAATTAAATTAAATGAGTTCACTCTCACCTTTGTGGTTGTCTGCTTAATAACGGCGCTGGTCTTATTTTTATGTTGCATATTACTCAAGTTCGCCATGTGCTCTACAAAGGAAGTGGGTAAATTGAAATAAAAGTTGTTTAAGTATACAATCAACGCCACTTACTTGCTGGCACATAAATATCCTTTGGTAATTTGGCATTAGCATAATCATTCAAAGACACACAACACTTCGTGCCCGCCGTACAAAGGCCGCTCGTTGTTAGGTAGGCCTCACAGTACTCAGCAATGCGATCGGCCACACAAACGCCTGTGCAATTTTGCACTAAGAAGAAAATATGTATATTTGTTAGAGAGAATTAGTATAGAGAAAAATGCTTTTAAGTTACCCTTTCCACTGTCCACGCTGCTCGCATCCTTTTCTTCCCCCTTTTTGGGCGCCAAGGTGCTGGTTGTTGCTGCCGGTTTCTTTGTCGTTGTGGTTTTCTTAGTTGTTGTCGTTGTGGTAGTGGTGGTCGGCCGCTTGGATGTGGTCTTCGGTTTGGCTGTGGTGGAAGTAGTTGTCGCTTTAGTTGTTGTGGTTGTTGGACGTTTTGTAGTACTTGTTGTACTTGTCGTTGTTGTAGTTGTGGTTGTGGTGGTGGTGTGCGCCAGTGTGACGTTTTTACCTAGAAGTGCAAATAATTGAAGAAAAAAATGCTTCCTTTGAATAGCTGAGGGATTTTTAGAAGAAGCTTTTATTTTCATTTTAAAAAACACTCGAAGGACTTGAAATTTCCCGCAATTAGAAATCTTAATTTTTTAATAAACGTTTTATAATTTTGCATGTCGGCTTGGAGAGAATTTAAATCTGTGCCTCTCTGCGCAATAGTCACGCATTGAAAACCACACTGAAGCTACCTTGGCTAGCTCTTGGGGTGGCTATAGAAGAGCCCTGCTTCTGCATCTGCCCTGCATTTGGGTTGGTTGGGTTTCGATTTTTGCGCGCTTACATCCCTCGTCAATCACATATTCTCTTTAAAAGAACTTCCATATTTATTGAGGTTATGTAAATGCTGAATATCCCAGAGACAGATTAAAGTTGCTTAGGATCCGTTGATTTTATGGCTCTACTTTCTAGAGGTCTCGACCGTAGCACCGCTGTATGCAGCATACTGGTGGTAAAACATATTTAAAGACGGGCTACTTCATTCAGACAGTAGACTCTGTTACTTAACTCACTTGATCAGGGGAGTGCTTTTAGCTTCTGAGCATCTATCGAAGATATGTTCGCCTACTTAAGACGACATCAGTTTCATACGCTTTATGTGCTTTTTGTAACAAGACTGATAGGAACTGCTAAAAAAATTGTTGTGCAATTATACATACCTGGCGCACTCTCGATACAACACTTCATACTGGGCGACGGACATGGTATATCATCGAGCACTTCATAGCAAATGAGTGTGGCCAAGGTGTGAACGCAAACACCGGGACAATCCTTCGAATCGGCTGTACTTGTTATGGTGTCCAAGAGACCTGCGACAGAAGTTAAGAATTTCAAAATACTTTCCATACTTTTCTACTCAAAAAAAAAAAAAAAAAAAAAACAAAACAAGATTACCCGATAGAAAACTACCCGCCAAAGAGTCATCTTGTGCGTATATGCTCAGTGGTAAATTTAATAACGTTAAACAGACCAGCAAAGTGGTCTTCACGTTGAAACCCATTTTTCTTGAATATGTTTGAGTTTTAAACTTTCTGATCTGATAACTTCGAAATGTGGTCCCAGAAACGCCTGTCAGGCGCGCATTAGTGAGAACTGGAAAATGCAATAATTAATTCAATTATAACTTTAATTTGCCATTCCAAATATTTACAATTTAAATAAATAAGTAAATTACAAAAATTTAATAACAATTTCCGGTTTGCCTAAAATTTTGGAAAAATTTTAACACTTTTTGCGTACGACAGCAGCAGGAAATTAAAAAAAAAAATAAATTTAATTGAAATAAAAGTAGAACATACCATATTGAGTGTTGCCTGAATGAAAGTAAAAAATGCTAAAAATAAACACATAAAAATGCTTAAATGTTTGTATGGCAAAGCAAATAAAAATTAATTCACACTTGTCTATGCGAACTTTCCTTTTATCATATTTAGTGTATTTAGGCCTTCCTTAATAGCCACCGGTACAACGACTTTTTGGCCATGCCATATGAGTATGTATGTATATTTTATGGTTAACACATTCCTAAATATTTAAATATACGTAAGAATATGTATATGTATATGTGTATGTATGTATATTTCCAAATTTCTGATCTTTCTTTCGGTTTTAATCAAATGTTCCGCTTAGTAGATTCCGTGTAAACATTGGAAAACGCTGTTGTAGTTGTTATTATATATAATATATAGGTATAATAAAAAATAATCAATTATTTTTGGATTAAATTGGTAGCTAAAATTAACAGATTTATGTCAAATAAGTGCTGTTTTGCTCGATAACTTTTTGCCATTTTGAAGATAATGTCTTTACGCCTCTCTCAGAAAAATTCTTATCTCTATTGGAAAAAAATTGGAAAAATCTATTTTAACACGCGTCTCTTTGCCAGCCAAATCATTCGCAATAGATAGAAATTCACTTGGCGCAAACTAAGGTAGATGCATAAAAACCTCTCAACCAATCCTCCGGAGGCCCTGACGAGTCACTCTTATTAGTCAAAGCTGAGTGTTTCTGGATGATTGCTTTCTTCAGACGTTTCAATTGCTAACAGTATAAATTAGAATTAAGAGTTTGACCAATCCAACCAAATACACCACTTAACACTTCAGTCTTTACCGTTTTCGTTTGATATTGCTGTAAGTGATCATCACTTTTCATCACCAGTCACCATGCGTTTCGGAAATGGGTTGCCATTATTACGACGAGTATGTAAATTTGGCCCCTCAGGTTTTTCTCGTGAAGTCATGTGGCATGTTCACTGTGTGTTCGGCCTTTTCAAGAGCTTCCAAACTGTTCAACCAAAATAGTGCTCGCATGATGGTGGGACTGGACGATTATCATTATTTTATCGAGGTTACGACAATTAGTTTTATACACCGTGGAACATCAGTAATATCAAAATTTCCAAAACGAAATGGACGAAACACCAAAATTGTTCTGATTGACTGTTACAGTATCAGAACAATAAACAATATTCACATTTTCTGCTGCATGTCTTGTGTTTTCTGCTTTATCGAGGGAAAATTATAGAATAAAGCATATTTCCCTTTGCTGGTGTCCATCTCTAACACGCGCCCAAACACCACTGAGTTAGCTGATCAACAACTCTCTCAATATCTTTTTAGTACAAAGTGTCTTCTTTCTAGCCCCATCCAGCGTAACCCAATCACACCTATATAACGCGAAAATAATGGATTACTTTTTACTGGACGTAATATTATGAGCCAAAAAGGAAGCGATATTTCTGCATTTGTTTTCTTAAGGGGTTACATACACGTATGTAGGTCTTGAAACTTCAAAAAACTAATTTTTTTGAAATTTTTTATATAAAAGTACAAAGTGTCAGGAATATTTTCACCAAGTTTCAAGTCGATCGAGACAAAACTGTAGAAATTAGAGAGTTTTATAACCCGCCCTCTTTGTCATGACTTGACCGATAGCGAAACTTTAAACACGTTTTTCTTAAAACCACTTTATCGAAATCGGCAGTCAAAATTTCTCAACAACTATTGAAGCGATCGAGTTTAAACTTTGCACACTTCTTTTAAGTATTTTTTGTAGTCCCTGAACGAAGGATTTATTTTATCTTTGATTTTCACTCATTTCACAAGCCAATATGTGGCCTTATTTTATGCAAAAAATTATGTTTTTTGTAAAAAACGCTAGAAAAAATTCAATTTTTTTTTAATTTCTCTTCGTTCAGAGACAAGAAAAATTCATCTACTTTAAGAAAAAATTTGGTTTTTTGATTTAAGATAGAAATTGACTACCACGAAAGCAGTTTCTTGTGAACGGTCTACTTCACAACACCGCCAACGCCTTAACTTACACTATTTTTCATTCAAATTTTCATCAAATATTGTCCACATATTGTACTTTTATATGTAAACAAAATTAATTGTATATTTTATTTAATATCTTAAAAAAAAATTAGAGGAAATAAGCTTTTTTTGGCCTACAAGACCTCTCCATGTAACCCCTTAAAGAACAATCAATATTTGGCAGATCCAAAAATATTCTTTGAAAATTAAACCATTTGTTTAGAAAAGTAGAAAAGTTCCAAACTCATATAACTTTTTAATAATTTAGTTGTATATAAAATGAAAGTGCTTCAAAACTCAGTAGCGCATCGGATATTTCACACACACATGCGTACACTTGTGCATTTTGTATTAAATGCTTTCATTTTTATTATTGTAATTTTTTAAAAAGGTCAATGAAATGTCTATGACAACGGACGCACGCCGGAAGGTTGTCACTTACTAAGTACATATGTATGTATTTATATATAATTATTTGTTTACTCACGCTTCGCTTTCGCCGCAAATGAAACGAAAATGAAAATGAAAATTTCATTAAACACAATCTCGTGTGTGGTTCTATTAAACCGCATAAAAGTAAATAGGTAATGGATGGACAAATATATAATGAAAATATTTAAGTGACGACAAGTGCATGCTCATTGATAGCGAATACGTACATATATATACATATGTATATGTAGGTTATATATACAATTCATATAGATATTTACTTACATAAACTATTACTTTTCCTATAACTTTTCATTCAACTTTAACCACTTTTCGATTTGACTTTTTTGGCTTATCGCACACTTCCTTTAAGTGCTTGCCAAATAAGACAATTTCCAAAGGCCGTTGTTAAGCCTTATCGGTATTGCAATCGCGTGAGAAAACCGTCATATTGTAGCTTTCGTTACGATATTATGGAACTAAGTGCAGTTCGATAATAAAACTTTCGTTTGGAAACAACTTGATCTCGTACGTTTACAGTAAAGGGCAAAATTTAATAGTCAACAATGAGTAGTTTATGTTTACATTATTCCATACGAATCTCATTATTTCGGAGAGCAATAAGCCGCTTGAAAAATAACAAAGCGACAGGTGGGCCGATGGATTGCCGGTTTGACAAATTGCAGGCAACGGCTTCTTCGTAGAATGTGACCGAATAAAAGTATGCCCTACACGATTTAAACCTCATTATGCTCTACCCAAACCATAAAAAAGAGAACTTCATAGTCTGCCGTCGGTTAAAGCCTCCTCAATATTGTTTATAAGACCCTATCGAGCATGTTGTGTGTTAATAAACTAGTTGGAGCTCATCAGTGTGACTTGACCAGATATTCACTATGCGCCAAATCTTATAAGAGAACATTGTCGATTTTACATCAACATTCGATAGCACGAAAATGAGCGGCCTCCACGCCGCTTTATCTGAGTTTGATGTCCCAGAAAAACTCAAACGCCTAAGTAAACTGTCGTCAAGCAACAAAACAAGCTCTGTCGGGTATGGGGAGGGACTTCTTCGCGCTGTACGATACCAAACGTGTAAGCTTGTTAATCTATTGCTTGAAAAAATAATAAGAGCTGCAGAGCTGAATAGAGAATAAGAGCGCAGAGGTTTTCGAGAGAAGAAGAGCAAATCTTCCACCCCGTTGGAAAGGCAGCCTTCAGGTCTTTTAGTATTTCAAATTGGCTTTAAACAGCACAAAGTAAGGAATAAATGGCGTACTGTTGTTAAGAAGGAAAAGAAGAATTTCATTATTTTTGTATTAGAAATGAGTCACAGATACCTCAGCTTATTACCATTTTTTATATTTTATATATATCTGAAATTTTGATTGACTTAATTCGAACTAATTTTTTTCTTACTGCGAGTTGGCAGCTTGTTTGCCAATGAACTTTGAATCACGGAAATGCATTGTGGTATTGAAGATCGTGCGATTTAAAACCATTGGACTAATTTTGTGAGGTTATGTGAAGTCGTTTGCCCACGCAGATAAGCACGAGACTCGGACGCCTTGGAAGAGAATATTCGGCGCGCTATTACTGACATACGGCTCTAATTGCTGTGAAAAGTGGTCGAAAATTGGGCCACTCTGCTATATTTTATACGAGCCAGTCGCGACGCTCACTTGCCCTTGTCTTTATAGCTAAGCTTAAATCTTGGCTGTAACATTAAATTATATGCAAACGGAATGGCTAAAAACACACTTTCGTACATATTTTTTATTTAAATTTAAATTTTTTTATTTAAATTTTAGTCAATATTAATATATATTTCTTCCAATGTTAATTTTGAAAGAAAGCTTACATCTTCTTCTGCTTCTTGTGTTTATATTTTTCACTTCGTTGAGATTGCAACCAACAAACCTGTTCGCCTACCCAAATATAGTTTCATAGAAAATTCAAATTTCTTACTTTTCTAACATATCAACCTAAATACATACAAATTACCATGTATTTACTATCAATATAACAACAACAACAAAAACAATTAACAACAGAAAAAAAACCAATCAAACGATAAAAAATTGTAGATTTTGTTTTGTTGTCGTTCATTGTCTGCGTAAGTTACGTCCATTATCTTTTGCTGAGCTGAGTTGTTGCCTCTTGGTTTTGTGTTTCTAATTTATGGTTTTGCGCCAACATTCTGGCATGAAATCAAGACGCGTAACTTTAAAAAATGGAACAGACAAACAAATGGACAAACAAACAAACCAGGAAGAGAAAGAGGAGCACCCATGAGCTTATGCCTAACTATCTGCCTGTCTGTCTATCTGTCTGCCCGTGTGT